ATAAATCTGACAAGTTGACAAAAAACAGAGAAAAAGGAGCAGTTTACAGGCTGAAGTCTGCTCTAGAAACCTAGAACATTTTTATTGATATGTAACTCACAAGCCCGTTCATCTCTGTGTTTGTTACCTGTTGAACATCAAGCTCTGGCTCCTTGGGTGTATCAGCATGCACTCTGGCTGCACAGGTCTTTTGCTTCTAGCTTTGTGTTAATAATTTACTGCCTTTTCAGGTGCTTGGAAAGATTTAGTGTTGTTATTGGACCACTGGGTAGCTGTTGCCGGCCTGGACACAGATTACACTTTACTGTTACATTCTTGTCTTACCAATAAGTTATGGGTAAGTCTTGACCCTTCAAAACATGTAGAGTACTCTATCATTTTTGTCCCTTTCTTATAAAAGAACTGTGGTCAGGTGGATTAATAATAATAATAATAATAATGTATACTTTATTGATCCCCGTGGGGAAATTACTTGTTTTTCTCTGCATTTGACCCATTCACTCAGTGAAGCAGTGGGCAGCCACTAAGCAGGCGCCCGGGGAGCAGTGAGTAGGGACAGTACCTTGCTCAGGGGTACCTCAGGGTAGCTGTTCAGTGGATTTGAACCCCCGACCTTCCAATCATGGGGTGACCACTCTACCTACTAAAAAACCTAAAAATGTAGGTTTGACTAAAATAAGATCAATTGTCTGCTTTTTTTGGACACTGAAGAAACTATAGATCAGTTATTTTGTTGCTGTGAGAAGGGACCACATACTTCAGCTTTACTGAGTTTTCAGTCTGTGCCAGTCAGTGCCAGTTTACTGAATCAATCACACATGGCAAAACCTTAAGCAGTTTTATTGACAGACATAATTTACAGATTTCATTTAACCTTTTTACAAACTGTAAACACAATTTCACTCACGAAAACATATTCTGCAATCTAATTTGTGCCCTCCATAATGAGCATCTTATCATGGTGGAGGGGTTTGTGTATCCCATGGATCCCAGAGCTTTGTTGTCAGGGGCTTTTACCCCTATTAGGATCTCTCAAACTGATAGACAAACTGGTCCTAGTTGAGGGGCCAGATGAAGAATGATTCAGGTAACTCATAAGAAGAATAAATGAACAGAGGACCACTCTACCCTCCTGGGGATACTGTTACCCAGCCCTCATCCTGGAGCCAGGCCTTGGGAGGGAGCTTAATTTAGAAAGCATTTAGTGGTGAGGCTTTCACCCATGTGACCCTGTTGGATGCAGCCTGAAGAGGTAACATAGGCCTGGACCCATGTTTTCTAACCACCCACAGTCTATTGGAGAGGCCCTAGACTCTGTTATAATCTAGAATTGTCCTTGATGATAGGTGACAGGTTGGAGGGAGTATCATGGTATCCCCAACAGTTCAATGCTGTATATTGGGGTTTTCCCCGGTGGACAAAAGGTGTTTGTTTCGGTGCCAACTTCTTGGAGTGACTGGGTGATGGAGGGTGTCCCATGTGACGACTCCATTGTTTTACTCTGACTTACACGGGCAATTACTCTGAGATCCAGAGGGGTACAACTGGGAGGAAATCCCTGCCTGATCAGAACCCCAGTGGGTTTCTGTCACCTCAGTTTGTCCATACTAAACACCATGTTCAAGCATAAAGCTGTTCAGATACCCTAGCATAGTGGTCCCTTTTTTTGTGCCACGGACTGGTAAATGTCCGACAATATTTTCACAGACCAGCCTTTAAGGTGTCGCAGATAAATACAACAAAATAAAACCAGTAGGCCTACCGGTACCAAGAAAAGAGAAAATGTATTCATAACACACAGGAAAAGACCCAGGGAAACCAAGTTAACTATAAAAACAATAAAACAATGATAAAAACACTGGAAACCGTAAATTTCACACCCGAGCCTCAACTCTCGCGGCCTGGTACCAAATGACTCATTGACCGGTCCGTGGTCTGGGGGTTGGGGACCAATGCCCTAGCGCACATATCGATAATTGATCATCAGTTCTGCAGACCAGCTGTAAAGAGCTGTGTCTGCACGGTGGTTGACGGCTGTTGTGGCTGTAATCACTGAACCAGATGGTGGAAGCCAGCAGTGATAGGAGCCATCAAGGTATGGAGTCCTATCAGACTTGGTTAGCCTGTAAAACTCCAGAGCAGCCAAGTGCTCTGTAGCTCTGCCAGTAGTGGACGTAAAAATTCAAATGTGTGAGGATTTGTGGAGGCTATTTTTGGTCAATTTCAAAGTGACTGTGGCAAACGGTCAGGTCGCTCAGGAAGAGAATGCTATTAGCTGGAGGAGTCTCCAATTCAATAAAAGGATGCTGACATTACCTCGAGCTCTATCGAGCTACTATGACAGCTTTTACTGCATCACAAGGTGTCTCGTCGGTCCCAGTGCAAATAAAGTCTGAAATAACAAACACACTAAGCTGTCTGAGTTACAGTTAATCAGAATTTAATGAACTAACTGTCATCTCTGGTTGTTAAGAGGATTTGGGATTACTGAGGACAGTGCTAGAACAAAAACGATGCAAATTACCTTGGCTTAATGTGACAGTTGAGATTTAATACAGCTAAGACCGGTGGGTGCAATGTATCATTGTCACTTTGTGTATTCATTTATTAATTTAATAACCTCCCAGCAGGGATGTGTCTAAGTAGTCTTTACATGGAATAGTGTCGGAACAGCACAATTCCTCTTGTGCTTTGGACATTAAGACATTTTTTAGAGATGTGCTTGCTCCCTTTATGGCAAGAGAATTAGGCATGAAAGATTGATTTCTCCTTCATGTCTGGCTGATACAGCTGGCAGTGCAACTAATGCATCTGTTGAGCCTAAGAAACACAAGCCTCATATCTAACTCACAACTATTGTTGTCATTTTTACTTGTTTTGGTATAATTTAGGTTAAACAAGGTAACCTCTAAAGCCTGACCAATACATCAAGGGGACTGGTATATCGGCCAATATTAGCGGGAGAAGCAACGTATAGCTTCAGCCAACATTATGCTCCATAGTTTGTCCGCCAGAGGAAACTATGCAGCTTCCCTGGGCGCAAAAACCACCAACTGATATAAGAAGAGTCGGGCAGATTCTCAATCTTGTTGTAACAATAAAACAAGACTATTCTTTTAAACAGCACCAATATCAGTTGAGCTCTAGTTTTATTCTCTTGTTAAACAGATTACATGAACAGGTAAGCTGTTTCCCCCTGTGTCTAGCCTTTACGGTAATGCTGCTGGTTTATCTAATAAGAATAATAATGAACAATTAAAAATAGATTAAACCACCATTAGGCGTCATCTGAATCATCTGTTATCTAAATTAAGATAATAATAATAAGCTGGAATAGTAAAATTGAGGAGTGACAAGAACTAAAGTGTATTTCACAGGGAAAATCTAACTCCTAGACAGCTTCATTATAGCGTCATTATTTGAGTCAATTACCTCTTTACTGTCTAATACCACTCTATTGAACTCTGTAATACCTCGCAGGCATAGCGACATCACCAGGGAACCCTCTAACGTTTAACATTATGAGAGACTAAAGCAGCGTGATTAAATATGCCAGGCTTCACTCTTTAAAGCCTTAAACATGGCCTGAAGTTGCAGGTTGGAGCTGAATTTTTCACAGTATTTTCACCCATGAATTTTATATAATTTCATTATAATTTTAGCATGAAAACCAGATGTCACTTAGAAAGGATGACTAATATAACAGGGTTTTTAATAATTCATTTGGGTCTTGCGTGCTGAGTTTATGAGATAAAAGATATGTGATTTTAGATCTTTTTGATGGGATCCAGCCTTAACCTCGGCTCATCGCAACGATAGGAAGCGATAAACACAGAATATGTCTTTGCTGACAAGAGCTGTAAACAGTGGAGCCATTTCAGTCACTTGTTTTCAGGCCTCTTCATTCGGTGGAAATGGATCCACGCTTTCTTCTGTTTTCTATAAACACTCCACCATTTTCCATTCTCTTTGAACTACCCCTCTCTGCTCCATTTTCCACCATACTTGCTGAAGGGACATTTTTCTGAAATACTATTACAAGGACCATCCTTGAAATGCTTTGATCACTCTTCATTCAGATCACAGAAAAGCTACTGCTGCCTACGGGAAAGGTTTATTTCAGCAATGTCTTTTTAGTCAATATTGTTCACTTGACCTTTCTACCGAGTCCTTATTAACGGCCCTCTGTTATCATTATTTCTACACTCTATGAATATAATATGGAACATACAAGAAACGATTTTTCCTATCTGCCTGTAAGAAACTGGAATTTTTTAATTATACATTTCTTTAAATATTTTTGGATTACATTTTATGGTTAATTTGTATTCTGTAATATCTGGTAATCTTTTCAATAAATGGAGCTGAAAGTTTTCTATCACAAAATGGGCTAGTAGCTCACAGAAGAGGCCTGAATTATTCAGAAATCATTTCAAGATACTTTGCCTAGATCATACAGTATTCTTGCGTCACAAGGAAACAATGCAAGCTGGGTATATTTAGCAAATGGTCACGCCTGTGTGGTTCCATCTGTAAATTTTGCATTTTATTTATGTGGATCCTTCTGATGCTCTCTTTCTTTATTCTTACACTAGTTGAAGTAGTGTTCTTTCTAAGTAAAGACTGAATAAAAAGGGCCTTTGTCAGTTTTGGGAATTTCACATATGTTTTTGTTTTCATTTCACAAAATGAGAAAAATTCTCAGTATGTGTTTAAAATGTCAAGTTGTAATTACTGAACAGAGCTGCTGAGCCCAAAGGGTCACCGAGCTAATGGTTTAGAGCCACTGTTTGAAGTGACTGTTACCAGTTTGTGCTGCAGAGTCAAACCTCAGTAGTGGATCAGAGCTTCTTGGTCATGTTCTCTACTGCAAATAAAAAGACAAGAAACCTATAAAGACACTCAGAACAGCTAAAGAGGGATCAAATAAATACAAAAAAAACCCATAATAATGCAACATGTGTGACCTTTTACATATCCAGTATGTGTCTTCTGTGCAGATACACCAAAATGAAGACAGCCACCAACATCTACATCTTCAACCTTGCTCTGGCTGACGCCTTGGTGACGAGCACACTACCGTTCCAGAGTGTTAACTACCTAATGGGGACCTGGCCTTTTGGGGACGTCTTGTGCAAGATGGTGATGTCCATCGACTACTACAACATGTTCACCTCTATCTTCACACTCACCACCATGAGCATCGACCGCTACGTCGCTGTGTGCCACCCCGTCAAAGCACTGGACTTCAGGACGCCACGCAATGCCAAGATTGTCAATGTCTGCAACTGGATTCTTTCCTCTGCAATTGGGTTGCCTGTCATGTTCATGGCCTCCACTACTGTCACTTTAAGTATGAACACATGTACCACTAATGCTGATCCTGATTTGCAGCACTTCAATTTTAGCATGAATGGGGAAATTGTAACGGAAGTAAATACACTACATATTGTTTTAGCAGCCTGACCTCATCACAATAATCTTCATGATTAAAGTTTTGCTGCATAGACAGTGAGTAAAACATTAGCCCAAGAAATGCTAGCATCTAGTGAAACAGCTAGTTCTCTCTGCAGACAATTATGTCATTTTTGGATTCATTTGCAATCAGCCTGTTCTGCCCCTTAGGTATGATGATGTGCTGCTTTGGACAACTTTAAAGTTAAATGAAAAAGCTCCGCTAAAAGCATCCTTGACCCTAAAACTGTTTTTGTGATCCCTCGTGCAAATAGCAAAGGTCATTTAATTTCTTGAAGAAGTTGTCTGTTTTCATCCATGTTTATAAATAAGATGTGGCAAAATAAACGGTAGAGATTCAGTTTTACAAATTACTTAGATTATTGCATTAGCTTTATTTTCAGCTGCTCCCTTATTTCCCAGGCGGTTGCCACAGCAGATGAATCTGCATATTTGATTTAGCAAAGTTGATGGTACAAACCTCCCATTTATCCATGTTTGGAACTGGCAAAAGGGGAAAAAAAACTCTAGAATCCACCAATAAAAAAAAACAAACAAAAAAACAAAACAAAAAACCAAACACTTATTTTAGAAGAACATTAAATTACAAATTTAATTATGAATTTTCGACAATAAAGTGATGTTGGGTGTGCCAAAATAAAGAACAGATTGCTGACCAGCGCGTACTGATCCAGCCTTTGTCTAAATTCCAAAATTCACCACACAGTTGGCCACAGTGACAACAAAATAAGGAACACTTTGCAGCAAATTTCATATTCTAAAAGTAGAAGAGTGGAAGTTTGTCACACCACCCACTTCTACTCCACCTGCAGCCAGCCTTCATCCCTTCAAACTCCATCCTATCTGCAGCCCTTCACTTCCTCAGCTCTGCTGAAACCTGTCCAATTTACATTCGCTGCTCCCTTGCTCTCTCTAGTTACTTGCTCAGCTCAGTTTGCCACAATCTGGATTCTTTGCCCAGTTCAATTAAGGTTCCTTCACTGATCTGCACAGCTATCAACTTGTCCACTTCTGCACACATCTACTTTGTCTCACTCTACCTTTGCTCAATACTCTACCCCTACCCCATTCTTCTGTCTAATAATTATTCACCACTTATCTAACTCCAGCCCCCCATATGTTTGCCTGTTAGCTCACTCTGGCTCATGATACGGAAGTCCTCACATCAAAAAGTGTGTAAACAACATGTGTCCCGAAGCAATCAAGTGTACTGTTATTGTCAAGTATGCTATCTCATTAATTTCCATAAGTGTATTGTAGTGGTTTACACATTTCCCTAATAAACTATCCCTGGCTTGATCCTGAGAGGAGACACAAACCCCTTGAGTGTTGTGTCAGGAAAGGCACCCAGCATAAAAATCTTCCAAAGCCAAAACGCTGTGGTCATCCCTCGTAAGTAAGCTACCAGCCAAAGCTATAGTTTTTCAATGGGGAGTCAAAATGAACCCTTGCAAGTATATGTGGCCATTTTTTTTTTCCCCCTTTCGCTGTATTTTACACCACAAAACTCATCATACGTTTAGTAAACTAGTCAAATTGTTAGGAGTTACCCAAATTTGGAATTAAATATTAAATAATGTTGTGTGGGAAAATGTACACACACCCTATGCAATTTCTTTTTACAAACAGCATTTTAACAATGGCACAAAAACTACAAAACAATAATGAACTCATTCAGTTCAGTCTCTTCATTTTTGATTGAAAAAGCAGTTACAAAGGCAGTAAGCAAAAATAGAGTTTGTTAAATACATACACATGCATATGATGAATGTTTATGATGACTCTATCCTGTGTCTTCTCAACCTGCACAGACACAGGCATAGTGGACTGCAAGCTGAATTTCCCCCACCCCGCCTGGTACTGGGACACCCTGCTCAAGATCTGTGTGTTCATCTTTGCCTTCATCATGCCCGTCCTCATCATCACTGTCTGCTATGGCCTCATGATCCTGCGGCTAAAGAGCGTGCGAATGCTGTCGGGCTCCCAGGTTGGAAAAATGCATTTTCTTTCAAAAGCCCCAAAATTGCATATATAATTTCTTTCTCTTTTTTTGCATTTTGTCAAGGGGCTTTAATTAGATGCAAATTGTGCATTTTCTAAAATTATTAAACCTTGGGTATAAACCTAATTGATTTTATTTTTCAGAATAATGAGGCACAATAGCAACCTGCCCAGAGCATGCTTGCAAATATGGTGCTCTCATCACTCTCAAGTCCAAGTAATTAGGGAAAATCAACTTAAGCCTGAGGTTGCGGCTTAGTTTTAATTAACCTCTTAGTGCTCACTAGCATGAATATGGGTAGAATGAAAATTCTGCTGCCATGCTTTAAAAAGCATCAGCTTTCTCTGAATGAATAACGATTTAATGAAAAACATAAACATACAAAGGCAAATCACAATTTTTTTCAACACAAGAGTCTAATGACCAAAATGCCTCAAAGCTAGTTGTCTTTTTTTATTCAAAGGGGGGAGATAAACGGTGAGGTAACACCACACTGGAATGCACGACAGTAACCTTTCACTAAGTATTTGAGTTGTTGCATAATGAAAACATCCTAAAGCAGAAATAAAAGGAAGAGTAAACATTCTTGTACACAAGATTTGTTACTGCCTATAGCTCTTAATTCTCTCCTCTTACTCTCTCATCCTCCCTTTCAGGATTACATTCTCCAATCTCCATCCTTTTCACACACTGGCCTCTCTGCTCTGTCATTCTTTCGTTATTATTTATCTTTCCCTGCCATCTCCAGTTTTTTTCTTTTTCATCTTTTCACCAGTCTTATACCCATCACTAATCTGCCTAACTTTTTCACACACAGGAGAAAGACAGGAATCTGCGTCGAATCACCCGCATGGTCCTCGTAGTGGTTGCCGTCTTCATTGTCTGCTGGACTCCTATCCACATCTTTGTCATCATCTCAGCTCTGATCACCATCCCCAACTCCACTTTCCAGACTATCACCTGGCATTTCTGCATCGCTCTCGGCTACACAAACAGGTGCCTAGCAGAGAAAAATATGCACCGTTTTTGTTTTTTGTCAAAATTCTGGATAATTGTTTTTAGAATTATTCATTTAAAAGGAAAATGGTGCAGGACGGGATAATAGGAGAATGTTATCAGGAAACCACATTATATAGTAAAGTTGAATTTAGCTTTAGGCTGATTTTTGTGCTTGTTATAAGCTTTGATCCTGTTTTTTGTCTCCTGCAGTAGTCTGAACCCCATCCTTTATGGCTACCTGGATGAGAACTTCAAGCGTTGTTTCCGTGAGTTCTGCACCCCAAGTCCTTCAGTGTTGGAGATACAGAATTCATCCAGGACTGGAGCCAGTAGCCGCAAGATCCCACAGCGTGAACACATCAGCGCAAACACAGGAGAAAGGTCCAATCAACAGGTCACCAGTGTCTGTATTACTTGAATGTTAGTTAGGAGCATTTAGTGGAAGTCTTTCACTCTGTGTTTCAATGTTAGAGGAGAACATCAACAGCTTTCAAATATCTGTACAGTTGGTGGCACAGCTGGTAAGCTTGGCTTGCATAATTTTTGTTGCCAGAAGCAGAGAGAATGAAAGTCACTGTGCCCCCCAAAAAGTATGTGCAATCTAAACTGACATGCAGTACTGTGCAGAAGTCTTGAGCCTGCCTTCATTTTTTCATATCTTGCTTCCAGGAGCCAGACTTTCTTGACATTTTTATTAACAACAGTTCTCCTGTTTGTTTTTAAGGTCTTTCTTAGATTTTCTCTGGATATGCTGCTTTTCAGTCCAGCTCTTATGCCTGACAATTTCCAAGGCGGTTTATTTGTTAGTGTTGGTGGGTTTTTTTGGTAAGCTTGTTAACACTGACCTATGAACCACTTGAGCATTAGAAAGACACCTAACTCAAAGGACAAATTAGTGCCATGAATACAAGTCATAGACAACCTTTTAAATAGTATAATAATAGCGAGTTTCAAAAGGAAGATGACACAATTTGATAGTCAGAAAATAGCCCTGGTTTTTCACCAAGAAGGTGATTCTCAAAATGCTATTGCATGTATGGTGTGTCCTTAAAAAAAATGAGGAAACTGGACAAAAGGAGATGAACAACATGTGAAAGTCATGTTCTTCGGAAACAAAAAAAAAAAATCTAGCAAAGACGTGACAGGACCTGAGAGATGCATCCGCCCCTTCACTGTAGCCTCATCAGTAAAGGTCTCTATACAAGGGTGGCAATAGAGAAGGCTTTCTTAAGAGAGGGAAAGAGTCATTTCTCACTGGCTGCAGTGTGAAAAATCAAAGCATAAACACGGTGAAGGCTCTGCCATGGTTTGACGCTTATTTCACCCAGTGGGGGATTTTGTCAAACTGATGGTTTTATGAATGTAGAAAAGTACTGTCAGATTTAGTAAAACCACAAAGCATCTAACCGGTGATAGCTTCATTTTCTTTTCCTAAACACACTGTTTTGCCTTAAATACTGTGTTTCCGCGTATGTTAAACCTTTTTTCAACAAATTTGCTTCACCCAGTTCTCTTTTCCGTAAAAAATGAGGGGAGGCTCAAGTCTTAATTTTGAACAGAACCAAGTTAAAAATGTCTATTCCTGCTCGTAGCATTAGGCTAACTTAAGCTAAGGCTGTAGCATCATTTCATACCGTGAACTATGTCGACTGCATAACAGGGCGAATTTCAACAGCACAGTGTTGTCTCAGATTGAACACAGCATTATGTAGTTAGAGGAAATGACATTTGAAAATACCTGGTTTCTGTTGCAGCTCCTTGTTTTATGTCTTCCCTTCCTTTATTCCTGTGCCTTTTGCGTTCCCACTCTCAGTGTTTTCTGTTCATTTCGTGTGAGACATTTTGAAGAATATGTTCTCATGTGGCGTTTGGTGCTTTTATTTCCCCCCATTGTTCTCTCACTATCTTCATTAACGTCTGATTGCGTTCACCTGTTTCTTATTATGCTCCTCTCACTGGTGGGCTTTTAAACCCAGTCCCAGCCCAGCCCTCTATGCTCCCACGCTGACGTGTATAACTGCTACTAATATGACTACTGAAGGGTCTCGAAATTGCAATGGTAGGGTACACTTTCTATCTCAGTTTATCCTCCTATCAGATGGACCTATTAGGATCAAGTCCTTACTCAAAAATATGCCATTTTCGGTTCAAATGTATTTGTTATAATTCTTATAATTCTTTTTTTTTTTGGTTCTTTATTAAACACATTAATAACAACAAAGTACAATGCACTTTTTGAAAGCATGTACAACATTTCCACAAAAGTAAATTTGTCTCCATAATATTTAGCGAGCTGAGCTCTGACTGCACTTCTTGCACTTCACTGCAGTGCTTCTTGTTTACATTTAATTTGTGTCTATGTCCGGACCTACCATTAAATGAAACAGTCATGTTTGCTTTACAAAGATAAAAGCAGTATCAAACTCTCAGCAACAAAGCAATAACGAATTTATCGCCAAACCTCAAAGTTATCCAAGAATTTCTAGTGAACTCATGGCAATGGGTTCACAAAGTGTGTAATAAGATAAACATCCTTTCTTTCTCTGCAGGTATGACTAGCCTTGGAGGGGTCGTCAGTGGACTCTCGCTGTTGTGGCAGTGTTCCCAATGACGATCTCAACTCAGAAGTCACCCAGGTCACCACGGGGCTCTGATTATCCACGTACACATAAGCCACATTCACACAACCATTCAGGACACGGCTAAGACACAACAGCACAGAACATTTTAGCCAGAATGCGTAACTGCATCAGGCCACTACTCTGCCAGCTAGTGTACCTAACTACATGGCTGTGCAAGCTTTTTTACACACTGGTTACATTGATTGGGTAGCACATCCGGACTGTTTGTGAAGTGGATTTGTGGCATGTTTTGTTTTTTTTACTGGATGCACATGTTTCAAATGTAGCTCTGTGTGAGTCTAAGCTAAAACAATCCCTAAATTCAATCTGTTAACAGCTCCACACCTGCAGGGCCAAAAAATGATAGACCTCAGGATCTATGATTAGGAGACACATGGGAGAATAAGCCGTCTTTAGCCTATCACTGTGCCAAAAGGAGATTTGCAAAATATTCAACTAAGATGCAACAAAATTTGTCAAAGGAGATAACAATGCTATACTGCTGAATCCCCTTCTTACAGCCCAGGTGGCCTCAAGGTAGCTGGAAACCTAAAATGGCAGCAGGTTTTGTTTTAATGTGGACTGCCGACAGTACAGGAGCCTTCACTGTGTTATTTTAAAACAAAACAACCCCCCCCCACATCTGATTAAAAGGAATGCACATACCTCACATACAAATGTATATAGAAGAACGGTTGTTTTTAACATTTGCAGGGGGGACCTCCACCGTGTAGTCATACTCAACTCATACAAGTTATACTCAAAGAAAACCGTCATTACCACATCAGGGTGTCTGAATTGAAGTTTCTGCACTAAGTTGAGAGGTAAAACTATTTGTGTTACATTAGTATTGTATGGACTACGCAAATTCAATATGTGTGGTAAACATAAAAATATACTGACAGAACTATAAAAGCCACTTTCACAAGCCACCGATACGTATATGTGTCTTGTTTTGTTCTTTCTGCTTTGTACAGAGCTGCCCCGTTCATCAAAGTCTCGTATTAACTAATTCATTATAGTGTAAAAAATAAATCAGTTAATTGTATTTGTCAAGCTCATATGGCTTCACACCAGTCTGCCACTTTTTTTCCAGATGTCTAAAAAGAACAGATCACCGTGTTGCTGCGCGGCACAGGATCTGCTTATCGTTGGTTCTTTTCCTCTATCACTGCATGAAGACATGATCGTAGAGAAAATGTCTTTCATAGCTAATTACAGCACCTCACACTGCTTCTATATCAGATCAGCAGCTTTTCACTTTTACACCTGATTAGCAGAATTTTCCGTCGAGTGATCTACGTAGTGCCGTTCAAACTTTGGCCACTTCAAGAAGATGAGTTGTGAGTTGCACTGCACTCAGTAACGATTTCACCATGAAGCACAGATGTAGTACAGTATTGTACTTTCTCTGCAAACTCTGACATATGTACGAATGTCTATTTGTTTACCACAGTGCATCCTTGTGGATGCTCTAAACCAGCAAAAAGCTTTCATCAGCCTGTCCTGCACAACCTTCAGTGTGTGCTGTTGCAGCAAATAGTGCAGACGTATGCTTTTACCAGTGTATAGTTAAGCAGCCATTACAACAGGTATGGGTTGAAGTGGAGTCACTTCTCTGAAAAAGTTTAGCCAAGCGGGACAGTAACACCTGTTGTAATCACTAGAATTGCTTGTGCCTACGTGTTGTGCCATATGCCAAACTTGAGCGCCTTTTTTCATAGTAGCTCTACGCGATATTCAATGTACTGGTATTTTTTTCTAAGGATTTGTAAAAGTAAATGATTGTATTAATCTGCCATGTAAAATATTGTAAGTATTCTGTCGCTTTTTTTAATGAATGTGAAATCATTAAAATCAGTGTGGTCCTACACTATATATATAT